AGAAAAAGTTGAAGTTTTCATTCTCTCAAAGGCTCTTTCTGTCTTTTACTGAATCTTGAAATTTCTTCAAATAGGGCTTTCAAATAGAACCTTTGACATTTATAGAAGCAGAAACATCTCTTTTAGGAATATTCTTTGATTTTTCATTTCATGAAAAACAGTTTCTAGATGTAACACACACAATCTAGAAGAAAATGAAGCATGGTTTTTTGAATTCAGGAAAATTCTTTACACTTCAGATTGTGACCATCTTTATTGGGAGGTCAAATTAGATGAAGACCTGTTAATATTCTACTAGCATCAATTTGGGAAAATTTCTCAAATAATGGCTATATGCCATGTTTTGATGAAAGTTTTGTGCAGCCTAGTGAAGTACAGTCTGCCCATTTTGAGATTGAGATTTCAAAACAGCAAATGTTTCAAGGAATGCTTGCACCACCTCTTCATACCCTCTTCATGACATCAGAATCTTTCTTAAGCAATACTAGCAGCACCTCTTTATGGCCATATTATGTAGCCAAATGCAGTGGAGCGCCATTTATTCTTTCCCTTGCATCAACATTAGCAAATTTTGGTAGCAATGCTTGAACCACCTGTCTTCGACCATATTGTACTGCTAAGTGTAATGGGGTCCACTTGTCTTCTTCCGTAGCATCAACAAAAGCACCTTCATCAAACAATATTTCAACCACTGCTTTGAAACCATTACGTGCAGAAAATGTAATGGAGTTTCTTGTTTGAGTTTGTGCATTGTCATGAGCACTTTTCTTGAGCAATGGTTCTACTGCCTCTTGATGACCATTTTGTGCTACCATGTGTGATGGGGTCTAATTTTGATTGGTTCTTGCATCAACCACAGCACCTTTTTGAAGCATTGCTTCCACCACCTCTTTATGACCATTATATGCAGCCAAATGTAATGGAGTTAAACCTTCCTGAGTTCTTGCATTCATATCTGCATCTTTCCAAAGCAATTCTTTCACCACCTCTTCATCACCATTTTGTGCAGCCAAATGCAATGGGGGTCCAGTTATTTTCTCCTCTTGCATCAACTACAGCATCTTTCCTAATCAATACTTCTCCACCTCTTGATGGCCATTTTGTGCTGCCAAGTGTGAAGGGTCCAGTTGTTTTATTCCCTTGCATCAACAGCAGCAACATATCCAAGCAATGCTTCCACCACCTTCTTATGACGATTTCTTGCTGCCAATCGTAATGGAGTTGCCCCATTTTGAGTTTTGGCCTTGACATCTGCTCCTTTACCAACCAACACATCCACCACCTCTTTATGACCATTTTGTGCAGCAAAGTGTAATGGGGTCCACTTGTCTTCTTCCTCTGCATCAACAGCAGCACCTTTTCCAAGCAATGATTCCACCACCTCTTTATGACCAGTATATGCAGCCAAGTGTAATGGTGTTAAACCTTCCTGAGTTATTGCATTCACATCTGCATCTTTTCCAAGCAATGCTTCCACCACCTCTTTATGACCATTTTGTGCAGCAAGGTGTAATGGGGTCAACTTTCCATTTTCCCTCAAATCAACTGCAGCACCTTTTCCAAGCAATGCTTCCACCACCTCTTTATGACCATATTGCGCAGCAAGGTGCAATGGGGTGTAGTTCTTCTCCCCCCTTGCATCAACTGCAGCACCTTTTCCAAGCAATGCTTCCACCACCTCTTCATGACCATATTGTGCAGCAACATGTGCTGGGGTCCAGTTTTTATCATTCCTTGCATCAACTTCAGCACCTTTTCCAAGCAATGCTTCCACCACCTCTTTATGACCTTTATATGCAGCCAAGTGTAATGGGGTCCAGTTGTCTTCTTCTCTTGCATCAACAGCAGCACCATATCCAAGCAATGCTTCCACCACCTCTTTATGACCTTTTTGTGCAGCCAAGTGTAATGAGGTTGACCCTGTGGGAGTGGTTGCTTTGACATCTGCACCTTTTCCAAGGAGTGTTTCCACCACCTCTTTATGACCAGTATATGCAGCCAAGTGTAATGGTGTTAAACCTTCCTGAGTTATTGCATTCACATCTGCATCTTTTCCAAGCAATGCTTCCACCACCTCTTTATGACCATTTTTTGCAGCTATGTGCAATGGGGTCCATTTTCTATTTTCCCTTGAATCAACTGCAGCACCTTTTCCAAGCAATGCTTCCACCACCTCTTTATGACCATTTTTTGCAGCAATGTGTAATGGGGTCCACTTGTCTTCTTCCCTTGCATCAACAGCAGCACCTTTTCCAAGCAATGCTTCTACCACCTCTTTATGACCATTTTGTGCAGCAATGTGTAATGGGGTTGAGTTTCTTTCTTCCCTTGCATCAACAGCAGCACCATATTCAAGCAATGCTTCCACCACCTCTTTATGGCCATTCTGTGCAGCAAAGTGTAATGGGGTCCACTTGTCTTCTTCCTTTGCATCAACAGCAGCACCTTTTCCAAGCAATGATTCCACCACCTCTTTATGACCAGTATATGCAGCCAAGTGTAATGGTGTTAAACCTTCCTGAGTTATTGCATTCACATCTGCATCTTTTCCAAGC